ATGCCATCTTAAACCGGGTCATGATAAAGTTAGCTGACTACTGTAAGACTTGGCGCCTCCAGCCAAGCACCATAAAAACAGTCTCCACTTTGTTCCATCTTCATCACACCAGCGCAACCTGAGAACTGAATGTTTGTCTGAATGGTCAGGAGCTGAAGCACAAAGTGGAAGCATTCTATCTATGTGTGACTTTAGACCTCGCTCTGAGTTACCATGCCCACCTGAAGAAGACAGCAGCTAAAGTTAAGGCGCACAACAATCTTCTTAGCAAACTGGCAGGTTCGTCATAGGGTGCTTGTGCTCCAACTTTGCGGACATCAGCTCTTGCCACCTCGTATTCAGTGGCGGAGTACTGTGCCCCAGTTTGGAGTTGATCGTCACGCACCAAACTGGTGGATACGCAGTTACATGCCGTCATGCGTATCATCTCTGACACCATGCGTCCGACTCCAATCCTATGGCTCCCAGTTCTGAGCAATAATGCTCCTCCTCATATCAGACGAGAGGTTGCCACTGGCCGGTTACTGGAGAAAGTACGTGTCAACTCAAGCCTGCCGCCGCACAATGACCTTTTTAAACCACCAGCTGCACATCTGCCGTCACGTTGCCCATTCTGGTCTCATCCGCCATGCCAGGATGTCAGGGCGGTAACACTCTGGCGAGAGGAATGGATATCTGTTATAATCCCCAACCAGTCCCTCATCGCCGACCCCACAATTTGCCCGCCTGGTTTTGACCTGCTCCAGTGCCAATGGTTGAATAGGTTCCAGACCAGGCAAGGTCTCTGTGCAGCCAACCAGTATCGCTGGGGCCTTCCTGACAGCCCTTTGTGCAGCTGCGGTGCAACACAGCCGATGACGCACAGTGTCAATGAATCCCTGCTGACTAGGGTCAGCGGTGGCCTAGAAGAACTGCATCACGCCACTGAAGATGCCATCACTTGGCTAGAGAACTATGCACACGCTAAACAATAAACAAACATACAAAGTGCTGGCCACTTAGTCAAACCCTTTTGTTCGACAAAGAATTTCTTTGAATTGTGGACCGATAAAACAGGGTGCAGAAGGAACAGATTTAATTTAATTTTTACCTGCCTGGACAACTTGAAAAAAACATGAGGGACTATTAAAAATGTGCTTCCAAAGAGGAAGATTCTCTAAAGAATTAATTTCTGGTAGGTAATGCCACTAGGAATTTCTGATCCACCAACCTTTGAAAAAACAAGGGAACAAGTTTTGGCAGAGGATTAACAGCTGTTCAAGAACTTCTCACAGAATGAAGACTCTACTGCCTATATTGGACTGGACTTCTACAAATACCTAAATTGTGAGATCATCAGAACAGGGCCTACTTCTATAGTCTCTCTGTAAACTGCCATGTCTAAATAACAGCCCTGATCCTGCCAACATCTAACTTTACTCACAGGAGTAATCCCACAGACATCAATGCAAGTAAAGTTATGCAGCTGCATTTGCATAGGACCAGAACAAACAAATACAACTCTTGGAACTAAACAAAAGTGGATTCTTCTAGAGCACAGCGATAGTAAACACAGGACTGGGAGCCAGGAATGCCCAGATTCTAATCCCATATCTATCACTCACTTCCTCTATGGCACTGGGTAAATCACATGATTTGTCTCACCACTCCCTCCCATTACATGTATAAATACTGAGTTACTTACCTCTCAGGGATTTTGCGAGGTTTACGTGGTTCATTTTTATAAAGAGCTGCTATGGCGTATGACACTCTGAAAGTGCTATATATTATCTGAAAATATAATACTTAGGCGGCTATGTTTATCTTCAGCTGAAGCCCCATTAAATCTAGCCCAGAAAATCCAACAAACCTGTTGTTTATGTCACCCAGCCTGGCTCTTATGACTCCTCTTTCAATACCAGTGACTAATCCCATTATTACTCAATGCAAAGGAATAAAGATATAAACATACTGACCAATATAAAGAGGACACAGCAGAATCTCCTAACCAGGAATAAATATTTCTATTCATTAAAGAATAAGTAGGCATACCCAAAATGGACCAATGCCTGTCCCAACTCAACACCCCACAACCAGAAGTGCTAACCTCCTCCATCACCCAAATAAGGCTCTGTTTATGCTATGGTTAGAACCATGGTAGCAACAAAGGCATTTAAGTTCAGAGGGTAGCAGAGATCTGCACAGTTTCCCTGAATGAGCATGAAGAAGGATTGCTTCTTTCTTTTAACTGGTCAAGGAAATAGAAAAATGCCCCTGTCCTTGCAATATGCAGAAGTTGGTCTAATAAAAAGACAGGTTTCAGAGTAACAGCCGTGTTAGTCTGTATTCGCAAAAAGAAAAGAAGTACTTGTGGCACCTTAGAGACTAACCAATTTATTTGAGCATAAGCTTTCGTGAGCTACAGTGTAGCTCACGAAAGCTTATGATCAAATAAATTGGTTAGTCTCTAAGGTGCCACAAATACTCCTTTTCTTTTTTTAATAAAAAGATATTACCTCACCCACCTTGTCTCCCTGTCCTAGCAAGTCAGGAAACCTCTGCTAGACCCCCACACTACTACGAGCAACAATGGTGCCCAAATACTCTTGTTAGCATGTTGTTAACTGTAAGGTGTGGACAGGGTCTAAATTTAAACATGGTTGTAACCTCTTCACTAAATTGCTGTGACTCACCGTTTCCCCCTACAAGGCCATTTAATACTATCTCAGAAACTGTAAACAAAGGCTTGTTTCCCTTTAGGAAAACTGGATAAACATGAGAAAGGAAGAAAAGGAAAGAAGGAAGTTTGTCTACAGTTTCCTTTAAGTTTTACATGTTTTGACTGGCTGGGAATTTTCCCCCATTTACACTCTGTTTGTGAAATCGCTATTTCATTTTCCTTGAGTGCTTAAAAATCACAGCAACTGAAAAAGCCATGGGCCCTTCCAAACTGGCAGGGACAGGCTGGGGGTGATGAGGCCAGGAAGTGGAGACAACCAGCCCCGGGGAGTTGTTCCAAACCGGGAAGGGGCGATGGTGGTAGTAGCGGTGGGGAAGGGGGCCGCTGGGACCGGGAAAAGGGGGCCCGAGGAGAAGCCAGACCGGGACATTGGGGAAGCCGGGGGCTCCGGGTCTCTGTGGGGAGAGGGGGTGTGACACGGGGAGAAAGTGGACCCCCGGGGTTTCTTACAGATACGGCTGGGAAAGGGGCCTGAAGAGAAGCCGAGATCGGGGGGTCGTTCGGGCAAGTGGCCGGGATCGGGGAGGGGGGCAAATGGGGGACGCTCGGACAGGATTTAGGAGCCGAAGAGAACCGGGATCGGGGGAGCCTGGGGCGGGGGGTGGGCTGGGGAGGGCTGAGGAGAACCGGGATGGGGGGCGGCTGGGGAGGGTTGAGGAGAGCTGGGATGTGGGGGGCTAGGAGAGCCGGGACCGGGGGGTGGGGAGGGCTGAAGAGCACCGGGATCTGCGGGGGGCGGGGAGTGCGAGGAGAACCGGGATGGGAGGGGGGGCTAAGAGAGCCGGGATCGGGGGGCGGGCTAGGGAGAACTGGGATGGGGGGGGGAGAGCCGGGATCGGGGGAGCCTGGAGAGGGCTGAGGAGAAGCGGGATGGGACGGGGGGAGGAGAGCCGGGATCGGGGGCGGGCTGGGGGGAACTGGGATGGGGAGGGGGGTAGGAGAGCCGAGATCGGGGGGGGCGGGCTGGGGGGAACTGGGATGGGGAGGGGTGTAGGAGAGCCGGGATGGGGGGGGGGGGGGGAACTGGGATGGGGAGGGGGGGGGGTGGGGAGCGGGATGGGGGGCGGGCTGGGGGGAACTGGGATGGGGAGGGGTGGGAGAGCCGGGATCGGGGGGCGGGCTGGGGGGAACTGGGGGGATCGGGGGCGGGGGTGGGGGGAACTGGGATGGGGAGGGGGGGTAGGAGAGCCGGGATGGGGGGGGGGGGGGGGGAGGGAGGGGGGGGGAGGAGAGCCGGGATGGGGGGGGGCTGGGGGGAACTGGGATGGGGAGGGGGGGGGAGAGCCGGGATGGGGGGGCGGGCTGGGGGAACTGGGATGGGGAGGGGGGTAGGAGAGCCGGGATCGGGGGCGGGCTGGGGGGAACTGGGATGGGGAGGGGGGGGAGGAGAGCCGGGATCGGGGGCGGGCTGGGGGGAACTGGGATGGGGAGGGGGGTAGGAGAGCCGGGATGGGGGGCGGGCTGGGGGGAACTGGGATGGGGGGGGGGGGGTAGGAGAGGGGGGGGGGGGGGGGGAACCGGGATGGGGAGGGGAGTAGGAGAGCCGGGATGGGGGGCGGGCTGGGGGGAACTGGGATGCGAAGGGGGGTAGGAGAGCCGGGATGGGGAGGGGGGTAGGAGAGCCGGGATTGGGGGGCGGGCTGGGGGGAACTGGGATGGGGAGGGGGGTAGGAGAGCCGGGATCGGGGGCGGGCTGGGGGGAACTGGGATGGGGAGGGGGTAGGAGAGCCGGGATTGGGGGGCGGGCTGGGGGGAACTGGGATGCGAAGGGGGGTAGGAGAGCCGGGATGGGGAGGGGAGTAGGAGAGCCGGGATGGGGGGCGGGCTCTCTGGCGGGGCTGAAGGGTGCCCCCCCCATCACTGCCCGAGTCCCGGGCCCGGCGCGCCGCACGTACTCTCGCTCTGCAGGATCTTCGCGGCGCAGCCCCCCGCGTACTGGATCAGCTCCTCCAGGCTCCGCTCGCAGAGCTGCCCGTAGCCCGAGAACTTCTGCAGCACCTTCTCCAGCTCCCGCTCCACCGTCACACACTGATCCATGGCGAGCGCGGCGGGGCTCCCCGCTCGCTCAGGCCGGGTCTCCCTGCCGCCGCCGGGCTCCCCGCCGCTCGCCGGGCCGGAATTTTGTTTAGAACTTCTCCCTGAGGCTGGCGGAACAGTGTTATTGTGCAGGCAGCGCAAAGGCAGCCGGGGTCCTGAGCGGCAGCGGGCTCACTCGCTGCGCAGGCAGTGGACTAGACACCCGAGGTCCTCAGTCAATTATTGTTCAGGCTGCACCGTGGACAGTCCGGGTCCGGAGAAAGGCTCTGTTTAAAACGGCCGAGGGTCGGCGGCGGTTTTGTTACTTCGGGATCGGGAATGATCACTCGGATCCTTGCGCCGTGCGTGTGCTGTGGCTGTACGGGGGGTTGGAGTTCTCGGTGGAATTATTCTTCAGGCAGTGCCACGGGCTCCTGCGGTCTTGGAAGGTCTATGATAGGCTGCTGGATGGCCAGCTGGGGTCCTCGCCTGCATTGTTTTTCAGGCAGCCCCACAGACAGCAGGGCTGGAGGAGGTGCCGGGAGGGCGCGCTATGGTCGCGCCAGGGCCTGGGCGGGGGGCGGCGGCGATGATGGGGGCGGGGCTCAGAGGTGGCGGCAGGGGCCGGCTGGCTGCCCGGCTGCCCGCCCCTAATGGGCAAAGAGGCGATTCGTAGGGAGAAGGCTTGGGGGAAGACGGGTGGGGGCTGCGCCCTGGGGGCGCTCAATGGCGGGCAGCCCCTTCACAGGCTCTCCTGCCCCTAGGTAGGCGACGGGCTTGCTTCAGCCAGCGTCAGGGGTGGGAGCTTGCAAGGGAGAGGCGGTGAGGTAGCTGTGGGGGCGGGGGTCAAGGGCTGTGTCTGCAGATATAAGTGCTCGGGTGCGGTTTTGAGGGGGCAATGCAGGGAGCTCTGCCTCCAGCTACACGCACCTTGCTGTCAAGGCAGTAGTTACCCCTGAGGAAACCGCACAGACCGTGATCCCGCATGGGGTATGCAGTGTCAGTGGCCTAAGGTGATACCTGTGGAGCAAGTACTGGCTGTAGGGAGAAGGCTTGGGCGGGGGGGAGGTTGATTGTGCTTACTGCTTTCCTGGGTTTTGTAACTTGCCAGTGGCCTTTTTCCAGGAGAAGCTGGCACTTTCTACATGGACTGGCTCAGGCAAAAGCATTTGAGGAGTCCTAGAGCTATGACTTCTTCACCCAGGATTCTGCCCAGATTGAAACATCTTATCTGGAAAACTAATGGAAGATAATACATGTTTAAAGTATCTTCATTTCCACCACTTTGCTTCTGTACCTAAACTTACCACCTGCTTTGTCTAGTCAAACTTTAAAGATCTTATTTCCATCTCTTCACAACTTTGGGAGGGTGTTGCATATGTCATTTTATTGCTGTTGGCTTCATGAATCTGCATATGGTTCAGTGCTCGGAGCTTTTTTCAAACAGCAGCCATCTGGAATAAGAGCAGAACTTTTGTAGTTTTTACTGTTGCTATTCAGAATCCTATCCCATATGTAGTAGTGGAACTGACAAGAACTATATCACTTTAACCCTGCTACTTGGAAAAATCCTGAGAGGCAGCAAAAGAAACTACTTGAGAGGGAAATTCAGAGTATGAAGGAAGGTGGAGGATAGACTAGTAGAATAACTTTAAGGTTAGGGGCTGGTAGACAGAATGCTCCTTCTTTTGCAGGGGGAATGTCTGGGGAGGGGGCTTCAAAGCTGTCAGACACGTACTAGCAAGAGGCTGACATAAAAGATGGAGCCCTTGAGTAGGTTAAAGGGACAACACCATGGTAGGAACATGGTAACACAGTTTCCTTTTCCAGCAAGTTGGGAAGGGCAGTTGGCTTTTCACTAGATCATTTAAGTTGGGCAGTGAGCTTCCTCCTGTCCTTTTATTTTGGACTCTGTCTAGTGAGTTTAATCTTTTGACTAGCTGGTAAATTTTTCAAACCCTGCTTTAAAACGTCATCCCATTGCTTAACATCACTGACTCAGTATTCACTGTATTCTCACTTTTCTGATGGGGAAACTGAGGCAGAATGTCACGAATTGTGATATCACACAGTGCTTGCTGGAACTTGTGTTGATTTGTGACTGTTAAAACTGTACAATGATATCTTGCCTTTGCACAATATAGATAATGCTACTGAAATTTCATTTTAAAGGATACTGTTAGCTGGGGTGTTTAAAAAAACACTTTTTAAAATTTCCATTGTATATAGTTGCATCTTAAAGGCTTGAAAATACTACTTTCCCTGTCATTTAGCAAAGGTTTTGGGGGTTTTTGTCCCATTTCTCAATTTAACTGTATTTTGTTTTTAGTTCCAAACTACTAGCAGGCGGGGAGTGAAGGCACTTCTGATTGTCAATGAACAGTTAAGACTTCAAATTTGTCTGTCCGACAAAACATGGTTGTCCTGGTTTTCAAGCTTTGGTCTATTTCTTTCGGGTAAATAAAAATGAAAGATTGTTGCTGCTGTAACTGTCTAAACGTATTTCTCCATGTTCATTTTTGTACCTAAATCAGAGATTCCACTTTATAAGTAATAGAGTACTCTATTCACACTCACAGTACTTGCTTTTTGAGTACAGGATGAGTTTTCTGACCATTCACAAGTAATTTTGTGAAATAGGTTGTTAGAATTAATTTTAAAATGGGCCTTTTAAAAATACCAGTACATATCTCGCCTTTCTTTGGTCCAAACATTCTTAACAATTGAATTAGGGACTTTTCAGACTTTTCATATAGTTAAAACTCACTGAATACTTATGCGTAGGCTACATTTGAAAAAAATTGGGTTGTAATTCAGCAAAGTTGATGGTTGTATCTAGCCTATAATCATCAGTATAGTTAGGGCGAAGTTTGTAGGTTGGGGAGATAATGAGGGGTGGGGGACAGATGGGGGAAGAGGGCTGTGTTAGACTAAGGCCTTGTCTACAGAGTTTTTTCTGCTTTAATTGAAACGGCTGTTGCATGTCCACACTAGCTCCTTGTGTTGGCAGAGTGCATCCACACTAACAGCTCTTGCATCCACACAGAGAGCAGTGTACTGTGATAGCTACCCCCACTGTGCAACTAGCTTCGGGGTGCTTTGGGAAGGGTTTGCAATGCCTCATGGGGCAGGTACAGCATCATATGATGAAGGTTTCTCAATCCCATTGTTCCAGGGGCATTCTAGTAGATTGTCAGCTGCTTTTTCAGATGAAGAGTGTGGGGGAGGGAGAGCAGAGCGGTGTGTCTGAGGCAGGGGAGACAGCAGGCTGACTTATCCTGAGGCAGGGAAAGGTGGACGCCACCACCCCACGTCAGCCCCCAGCTCTGCTTGGCACAGCACACTCTCCTGCAGCAGCCTACTCTGCCTGCCTATGGTTCTGTGATTCTCTCCAAGTTCTGCCACAGCGGCATTCTGAGCAGCTCTGTGAGCTCTTCCTCCTGAGGAATATGTCAAAGTAGCACAGCAGTCCTGTCCCTGCAGTAGCAGTCTGCCTGCTGCTGTGTTCCTAGTGCATGCAGGGTAGAACAGGAGCATTCCACATCAATGATTTGCTCTTTGTTTCCCCAAAGGGTGCAGCATGCACAGCTGTCAGATACTTCCTGGAGCTGTGAGAGGGGAGGGGCGCATGCCTACGGAGCAGCAGAGATCAAAACAATGAGCCGAGCGGTCGTGGCAGGCACTGAGGGATACTTGTGGAAGCCAGTTATGTCAATAAAACAAACAGCAGTGTCTACACTGATGCTTTGTTGCTTTAATTTTGCCGCAAAAAGCTTTATGCCTCTTGTTGAGGTGGTCTTATTTTGTCTGTAAAACAGCAGAGTTTTGCTGCTAAAAGTAGCTTTGTAGTGTGTACACCTCCCCTGTTTTGTCGGCAAAAGCCAGCTTTTGCCAACAAAACTTTGTAGTGTACACAAGGCCTAACCTAATGTGATGGGGGATACAGCCTAGTCTATCTGCTCATATCTCTGTACTTCAAGGGCTCCTCCTGCCCCAGTTCCCCTAACTGGGCCACCTAGGTGCAAAATGGAGTTGAGGCAGAAGTGTTGTGGGGAGCCTTTCAACTACTGATGCTAAGCCAGATTCCAGTCTGATTCACAGGCCCCTCTTATACAGAGAAACATCGGTAGTCTCCACTTCTTTGCTGTGAAAGTCTCAGTCAGTTACCTTGCTGCCCAGTCTACCACTGAGCATTGATAGAAAATCAAAATTTAAAAAGTAGTGATGTTTGTGTCCTTACTATTAGGACAGTCATATTCCAGAGTTTCATGTTTTGGTTTGCTTGCCAAAATATCAGCATGTGAATACATATGAACTGCCAGAAAGTTGAACTACAAGCTTAAAGAAATTATTTTAACCAAAAACCACAGTCAACGTTGTGTGGGAAATGTTGGGACTAACTTTTGAGGTTCTTGGCTGTTCTGCTTCACTTAGTCCATTGACAATAGGAAATGCCATATTAGAGACAAGCATTGTCTATGTGCCCCTACCACACCTTGCTTAATTGACATTAAACAGTTTTGCTGTGTGGACTTTTATTTTAATTATTGCTATGTGCTTTCCAAACTGAGGAGGAGCTGAACAGCCCCTACCCTGAAAAGCATACACCCTAAAAACATAAAAGCAGTGAGGGATACAACATATGAGCAAAGTATTCATATGATAAGTCCACTGCTTATTAAAAATCCTGAACAAACTTTTAACTGAAATTAAACATGGTAGGTTCCTCCCACCCATCACTCCATGTATGTCTGAGTTGCTCACTTTAGATAAATATATAGGAATTAGTCAGCTAGGTTCTTGTATGTGTCTCAGAAGAAGTAGATCTTTAAGAGGGATTTAAAGGAGAAGAGGGTTGCAGCACGGGTACAAAGAATCTGTTAGGGGCCTGACGGCAAGTGATGTTGAACATGCTTTTTGTAATGCTGTAAATTACATTTTGGACCTATCTATGCTAGTAGCCAAACAGTTTTCAGCACATGGTATTTCAGCACATGGTGGGCTGGTCCTGTTAGTGGTCATTACAGCAGTGAGTCACTTTCTCATTATTTAGAAGGACCCTTAGTGCATGGAAGATTTGACAGAGACCCAGAAATTATGCCTCACATTTGTCAGCTTGATAAAGTTTTGTGGACTGTGACATTTTATGAAGAAATGGGAGAGCATTACGACCCCTCCCTCTCATAGATTAACTTTAAAATACCAACTGATCCCTGGGTACATTCTGTTCAAGCTGGTCTTCCCCCATGTGACTCGGTATTGAGCAAAACTACCTCCTAAAATCAGTTTGTCCTTAACTGTCCAGTATTGGAGCTATATGGTTCATCCTTCAAATCTTTACTCTTGACTACCCCTTCACAAATGTACATCGTAAGAATAAGGGACTATGACTTTCAATATAGGGAGCAAAGTTGACAAAGCCAAAAGGCTCAGCTTGTGACCAGCTACCACTAAAATCAATTACCTTGTCACTCTTGACGATCGGAACTCTACTTAGCAAGTACACGGAGGATAAGAGTAGCCATGTTCAAATTTGGGGAATGATATCTATGGTGTTCTCAGTGAAGGGGCCCTGGCTGTGAACTAACGTGCACCAGAAATTAGGTTGAGCTTGTGTCCTGAGACAGCTGAGGCATATTGCTAGACTTGTTTTTTCTGCAGGCCCTGCTATTATTAAGGAGCCTTAGGCCTTGTCTACATTACACAGTTTTGTCAACAAAAGTCAGCTTTCATCGACAAAACAGTGGAGGTGTACACACTGCAATGCTCCTTCTGGCAAGAAAACTCTTCTGCTTTGCCAACAAAATAAAACCACTTCGCTGAGAAGCATAGAGCTTTTTGCAGCAAAGTTATATCAACTAAGTGTCAGTGTAGACACCGCCTTTGGTTATGTTGCTCTAATTGGCCTCCATGAGGTGTACCACAATGCCCATCGTGACAACTGGTCAGCAGTTCGAACTTTGCTGCACTGCACCTAGGTACAAAGGTATCCACCCTTCCCCCTTTTAAGGCCCAATACTTTTTGAAATTCCACTTCCTGTTTGCTCCCTGTGGACAGCTGAATGCATCTTCCCAGCTGACCATGGGGGCTCCATGCAGCAAATGCTCTCCCACTTGGAGCACACCTGAATTGTTGGATCTGCTGGCACTGTGGGGAGAGATGCCTGTGCAGTCGCAGTCCCAGCTACGCTTTAGCTGTAGGAACTTCAATACTTACGGTCAGATTTCGTGTGGCTTGTTGGACAAGAGTTATGAATGGGACACATATCAGTGCTGTGGTTTTGTGATGCTTTTCTTTTCATACAAACCTTAAATCGGGGGCCTAAGCTGCCTGACCAACTGATCTAACTCTGCATGGCTTTTCTATAGTTAAGTGTGCAAAGATTACATTTTTATTGGTAAATGTCAATTTCACCATCCACACACAAAAATGACAAAATTGGTAATTGAAATGTAACAAATAGGCAATGTAAGAAAAATGCTGCTTGCGAACTTACTAGAGTTTGATTTAAGGATATCTACTTTGTATATTTTGGCATGTGATGTTGACAATTTGTGTTTTAATGGTTATAAAGCTTTTACTTTTTGAATCTCAATGCCTACAATCATTAAATAATTACTATCTGATGCCTCCCCCGCCCCCAATTTCCTGCAATTTTGAACATTTCAGTTAATAAAAAAAGTCTTAAACATTAAAATGTCAAAACTATTAAAAAGTCTATAGTCAGTCACCATAGACAGGTTTCAGAGTAACAGCCGTGTTAGTCTGTATTCGCAAAAAGAAAAGGAGGACTTGTGGTGCCTTAGAGACTAACCAATTTATTTGAGCATAAGCTTTCCTGAGCTACAGCTCACTTCATTAGATGCATACTGTGGACAGTATAGAAGATTTTTTTATACACACAAAGCATGAAAAAATGGGTGTTTACCACTACAAAAGGTTTTCTCTCCCCCCACCCCACTCTCCTGCTGGTAATAGCTTAGCTAAAGTGATCACTCTCCTTACAATGTGTATGATAATCAAGTTGGGCCATTTCCAGCACAAATTCAGGTTTTCTCCCCCTCCCCCCCCGCACAGAATTTACCATTAACATCCAACTGAGCACATAAATTAAACTCCAGCTCTGGCAAGGCACAGGAGGGGGGGGGGGAGGTTCATCTCTCTGGAAGCACTTAGGGCCTGATCCTGGGGAGCAGCAGCATTTGGGTTGCTTGTTATCACTTTGGGTGAGAGGAATAAATCATGTGAGTTAAGGGGGGGAGCACACATGAATCTCCACCGACAGAGGCCCCACAAGACAATCTGCCATCCTAGGCAAAACTACATTTGAAGCCGCTCCTCCTCACAAAGGGGCAGCGGATTTGCCCTCCGCCTGTCATGATGGGGGAGCAGCCGGGCCATATTTGAGTAAGTGGCATTGTGACCTGGCCCATGGGGTTACAAGGCCACCCAAATTTGACCCAGCCACCTCTCCATCATGACAGAGGGGTGGCCGGGTCAAACCTGCAGCCCTAGGCAGCTGCCTGGCTTGCACACAGGTAGAGCAGCCGCTGTCAGCAGGAAGGACCGGGCTCCTCCGGTTACACCCCAGTTCACTTGCCCTGGAGCTCCCTTGTTCGTGGGGTGTCAGCCCTTCACAGCAGGGCCGGGGTGGGGGGAGGGATGCTGCGGACTCGCCAACGCGGTTATGAAAAAGCCCGGCTCGGGGTGCTAAAACCATGCCTGCCCCACGCCTCAGCCTCTCCCGCTTCCGCCTCGGCTCGCTTGGGTGGGGGCGACTCGGTCCCACAGGGAGCCCGGGAGCGGCGAGCTGAGGTAAACGCTCTGCTGCCCGTGTGCTTTAGCACATGATAATCCCAGTCACAGGATATGGGGGGGGGGAGGATCATTCCCTGGGGGGCATGTGTCCGGGGAAGAGATGGGGGGTGGTGAATGAGGAATGAGTATCCGGGGCTGGGGAAGAGATGGGGGGGATAAGTGTCCGGGGCCCGGGAATGGGGAGGAGGGCGGATTAGGGGCTGGGGAAGAGATGGGGGGGATAAGTGTCCGGGGCCCGGGAATGGGGAGGAGGGCGGATTAGGGGCTGGGGAAGAGATGGGGGGGGGATAAGTGTCCGGGGCCTGGGAATGGGGAGGAGGGCGGATTAGGGGCTGGGGAAGAGATGGGGGGGGGGGGGGGGATAAGTGTCCGGGGCCTGGGAATGGGGAGGAGGGCGGATTAGGGGCTGGGGAAGAGATGGGGGGGGGGGATAAGTGTCCGGGGCCCGGGAATGGGGGAGGAGGGCGGATTAGGGGCTGGGGAAGAGATGGGGGGGGGATAAGTGTCCGGGGCCCGGGAATGGGGGGAGGGGGGATTAGGGGCCGGGGAAGAGATGGGGGGGATAAGTGTCCGGGGCCCGGGAATGGGGAGGAGGGCGGATTAGGGGCTGGGGAAGAGATGGGGGGGGGGGATAAGTGTCCGGGGCCCGGGATGGGGGGGAGGGGGATTAGGGGTCGGGGAAGAGATGGGGGGGAAATAAGTGTCCGGGGCCCGGGATGTGGGGGAGGGGGGATTAGGGGCCGGGGAAGAGATGGGGGGGGAAATAAGTGTCCGGGGCCCGGGATGTGGGGGAGGGGGGATTAGGGGCCGGGGAAGAGATGGGGGGGGGAAATAAGTGTCCGGGGCCCGGGATGTGGGGGAGGGGGGATTAGGGGCCGGGGAAGAGATGTGGGGGGGAGGGAACTAAGTGTCCGGGGCCCTGGGGCGGGCGGAAACAGGGAGGGGGCGGTGCCCGAGGTGCCCCCTCCCCGCTGCCCTTTGCCCCCTCCCCGGCTGTCCCCGGCTGCGACGTCACTTGTTATGGCTCGGCCGGCGGCTCGGGCTCCGCTGGGGCCAGGCGGCGGCCGGGCGCGGGAGGCGGGGACCCGGATTTCGCAGGCAGGCGCCAGGCCCAGCGCCTCACCCCGCTGACCGTTCAGCCCGGGGAGTCCCCGAGGGGAGGCGTCTCCTCTCCAAATCCCCCTCACACAGATCAGCTTCTTCCCCTCCCCTCCCCGGCCTCTTCCCCGGCCTCACTGGGGGCTCAGCCCCCTCCCCCGGCCAACTTGGCAACACCCCTGAGATCTCCTTTCTCTCCCCCCAACACCTGACTGGGGGACCAGGGCAGCAAGGAGAGGGCCCAGAAGCCAGGGGCGAGGAGGAGGATCCAGGCGGCGGCAGCAGTGGGGTTATTGGTCTGAATAATTCGCTCCTTCCCCCTGTCTCCTCCATTGGGATCTCTCTCTTTCTCTCTCTCCTAGGATTGGCTCTCTCTGCAGAGAGTCACACACACAGAGAGAGGAAAGATGTGGCTGAAGCTGTTTTTCTTGCTTCTCTATTTTCTGGTCCTGTTTGTCCTGGCCAGGTTTTTTGAGGCCATTGTCTGGTATGAGACTGGCTTCTTTGCCACCCAGTTGGTGGACCCAGTGGCCCTGAGCTTCAAGAAGCTGAAGACCATTTTGGAGTGCAGGGGGCTTGGGTACTCTGGGCTGCCGGAAAAGAAAGATGTCAGGGAGCTGGTGGAGAAGTCAGGTAAGAGATCATGTAAGAAGATATTTCACCCATTAACGTTTAGACGTTTGCTGGTTTTTTGCCTAGGAATGGTTTTCTTTAGTTAAAAATCTTTGAACGCTTGATTTTAAAAAAACCTTAATACACATTAAGAGCTTTTTGGGGAACAAAATCATCTCAGTTGTAATAATCTTACATTTCTAATAGCAGCTTTCATACAGAAGGGTCCTAAAGTGCTTTCCAGATTGTACATACAGCACTACTGAAATGCAGCCACCTCTGGAGTATAGGACAGCAGCCAGCTGGCACAGGGTATGCCTTACTATAGTATTGTGGGAGGGGGGAAATTTTGGCCAAGGACATCCGGACAAATGCTACTTTTATGCAAAGTATCATGATATGCTTACTGTGAGGGGACAGAGCCTCAGTTTTGCAGGTCTTGTCAAATGTTATATACAATACATGTCTCTGTTTCTCAACCTTATGTCCACCTTTATGAGTTAACAGCTCTCCAAGCAGAATTTAAATAAATAACCAGTTGTCTTGGTAGACCAAATAATAAAATATTAGTGTGATAAATGTAAGAGATCATTCAAAAAGCTGTAGAACTGTGAAATACATTAAATTTCTAACAGAAGTTGTAAATGTGAATATCATATTCTACCATCTGTCAAGAAAATAGACCTTCTATATTCAATAGACTAGTTACTGAGCAAGCAGGAAAGGGACTATTTTAGAGAAGTTAGTCTGAGTTGCTGAAGGGGATTGAATCTGAATGTTAGATTATGTTTGCACAGTAGGAAGTATGCTGTCAGCTTTGCTTCCTAAAAAGAAAAGGAGTACTTGTGGCACCTTAGAGACTAACCAATTTATTTGAGCATAAGCTTTCGTGAGCTACAGCTCAGCATCCGATGAAGTGACCTGTAGCTCACGAAAGCTTATGCTCAAATAAACTGGTTAGTCTCTAAGGTGCCACAAGTACTCCTTTTCTTTTTGCAAATACAGACTAACACGGCTGTTACTCTGAGCTTAGCTTCTAAAAATCAAACGTTTTTTTCCCCTCCCACTCTGCATCCTCCTGGTTACTCTAGCCCTCAGCACTGTAACTACATAGGCCAGAATATTAACTTTTTAAAAGGACGCTGTTATGGGCCTAATTTTGGTCACACTGGTCTTGCCCTGGTGGAACTCCTCTAACTTACCATTTATATTGCCATAGTGCTCAAAGACCCCAGTTAGGACCAACATTCTTATGTGTGTGTTTATGCAGCACATAGCACAGATATGTAACTAACTCCTGTGCCAAAGAGCCTGCTATCTAAAAAGAGAAGTGACCTATGGTGCTAGATTCACAAAGGGACTTAAGCATCTAACTGCCACTTTAGGTGTGTAAAATCCAGATACCACTGGTATTTACAAAATTTCTGCTCCACTGCCACCTAGCCCTGTAGGTGCCTAAACTCACTCAGCACTCACATTTTTGCTGGAAAAGATTTCCCTAGGTGCCTATGTTTCTGCCTCTGGGAATGTACACTGGTGCTTCATTCTAGATGTCTGGGCGCCCGAGGCCTAGTGCAATTAATTAGCTGAGGGAAGAAAAATGCTCCTCTGCCTAACTCACCTGTGGGGCCTGATCTGGTTGGTGTGCTCTTAGCATATCTAACTGCACTTAAAATGGCCCATGATGGTCAGAGGTGTTCCCACATAAATTTTAGCCCAGGGTTAGGGCAGTGGTGCCCAAATTTATTACACAGAAGGGCCACACAAACCTAAGTACAACCTTGTATGGGCCAAACAGATTATACATCTTTTAATAAGATTTAAAGTCACCTGTATTGATTTCTGTTTTAAGTTCAGGTTGTTTCTATGTACAGTATTGTCTATTTACACACTTGTGTGCACTCTGTCTCTCGCTTGCCCAATGACTCTTTAATTACTTATCCAAACTGGAACAGCAAGTGGCAGATCAGGCACCACTGCCATCAGGCAGTGGGGGGGTGAGGGGGAATCGAACCACAGAGTCATAACATACCAGGTGAATACCATAACCATTGGGCTAAAAGTTATGAGGGAGCTCTTCTTCTCCCCAGCTTGAACTTTTTGTAAGAAATACCTTAGGCACTTGACTCAGGAGAGGGTTCACAGCGGAGAATCCCAAGCAGAGATAGGCACT